GTGACAAACTCCTTTAATGTCTGTCTATATATAAGTTTATCCAGTTATTTATAAAACTATATAAGGTTTCTAAACTATATTTGTATCTCTTTCTCTCAGCAACCATGCCTTCTGCTATGGTGAGGTGATAGTTGATACCCAAATAAATCCTATTTGCTATATTCAGCCCATCTTTATTTTTGGTTTCTTAAAACTAATGGCTATGGGTCTCATCAGTTTGACCTTGAAAAGGCCTTCTACTTGCCTCAAAGGACAATGCAGATATGATGTGCTTATAAAAGGGTAACAGAAGTTAGCAATCAGGGACCAGAGATGAATCAGAATTCAAGATTTCGTATTATAAATGAGGTGGAGTTGTGGTCAATATTTTACTTCTCATTGGACAAAAAGTCAGGAAAGACATATTCTAACTCTTCCACCATCTCTCTGCAACTAAAAGTGTGCTACAGATTCTGCTTGTTCATTGCTAAATTTGGACAGAAAATGAAAATAATCTCATCTAACTTTAGACCACTCCAGTGAAGATGCCAGAACCAAGCTGGTCCCCCCAGGCCCCGTTTACAGGCACGTAGACACAGTCAGGTGAGGCTCACAGGCTTTGTATGAGAGGGATGTTCGCTGATTATCCAACTTGCAGTTATTATCTGCACAGGTTTGGAGGAAGTCTAGTCTCAAACCCCGATTTTCAAGCAGATATCATCCTCACTGTGTGCTGGAGCTAATGGAAGTTGCAGACATTCAGCACAACTGAAAACCTGAGTTCATTTCTGATATACATAATTTGCAATGATTCTTCTGTGGCCAGGCTGGAAAAGCACTCTGATCTGTTACCAGAAATATGTTACAGAGGAAGCTACAAAAATGAAGATTTAGATCTTAACTCAGCCACAAAACTATTTTAATAGTTGATAAACTCTGTAACTATTTCATAACCTCAAGTGTATTTATGACTTCTGAGAGATGATCAGAGTTTATATGGTGGTGGGATCTATAGAAGAGTCTACAAATAAACAAAGTTGATAATCAGCTAATTCTTTGATTGCAAATTTCAGCAATTTTGAACATTTAAAATGCATTCAAAAGTATAGGACTGCATTCAAGTTTACCTTAAATACTGTCCATCTGTGGTTGCTGAAGTCTATTCAGGAAAGGATTCTATCTGAAAAACAAATGCAGTAAAAATGCAGAGCACTGGGAGGTTTTAGAGATCTATCTATTTTTAAATTTCATCTTCCTCTAGTAGATCTCATTTTTAGGACATAAAATGATATACCAGATATATCTTTTAAAAAATGAAACATTTCTTTTTGTCAAAGCAGTAGACGTCAAAGTAGAAAGTGCTGTGCATGTGCATAGAGGATAGAAAAAAGGGATGGAAATATTTTTGACTTCAATCTCTAGAGAGTCCTGTTTAATATCTGCTAAAGGTTTTATAAGAGGCTTAAGAAAGGGTTAAGAGAGATCATAGACTGACTTGAAGGAAAGGAAGAAGTGGAGCCAAGGCAGTGCCTCATCTGTGGCATGACATGATGGAACATGGCACAAATTGAAGCAAAGGAAAACTTCCTCTCTCATGATTCTGGAAAATAATAGCTTTCCTCACTTATGAGATTGTGTCTTGAGTGTAACTAGGACTTCCCAATGTCAGCAAGAAAAAGAGACCACAATCTCCTTTTGAAAATTTGTTTACAGTGGTGATGTCAGGTTAAATTCCACTTCCATTGAAAGGAAAATACTGAGGATATTGGAACACAGCTTGGGGTTTGAGGTGCTAAGATGACTAGAGAGTAAGAAACCTAATTACCTCAGATCTGGGTGGACTGTCTGCATGATGATACTTATCCTCAGCACAAACCATGAAAATAACAAATAAAAACTTGTTCTCTTTTGCCCTGCAAAGCTATTTATATATTCAGATTATTCTTTTACAGATGTATGATCGGAACAGGATATCCTGGACTAATTTCAACAGACTACATTGTGATGCTAGAATCCATGTGAATGCATGGATTCTTGAATATTAAAAAAATCCAACTCTTTCCATCATGACAAAAAGTAGCTAGTAGCTATTTCACAAGACAGAAATACTTCTGAGAATGGTTGCAGCATCTCATTATATTGGATTGGGAAAAGCCCACACATGAATTGAAATGCTTCAATGGAGTGGATGCTAGTGAGCTATAAGATCTTTTCCTTTGAGTTTTTTTCCAAGCAAACAGTGTAGCAAAGGAGGAAACTAAAATATAAGTGAAAATCAGTATTCTATGTTCAGCTGCTGCAGCTTACATATATTTGACCATGAATTACAAACAAAGAAAAACTTTCTTACCATGTGAGCATGGTAAAATATTTGAAGAATTAGGGCAGAGAATTTCCGACCATGGAAATATTAAAAACTCAGTAAATCTTTTACCAGCCTGGTGTAACTTGCCTACACTTCAAGCAGAGTTTGGACTAGATGCCCAGTAGACATCCCTTCCAGCCTCATTTATTCTATGATTAGAAAGGTTGGGCATTGATTCTACACCTAAGGCAAAAACCATCAACTTCAGGGCAGAAATCAGAGTGAAAAGCAAGACAGATTTCTGCAAGCAGAATATGTCATACAACGAAGAAGTTTATTTTTGAAATTATTTCTCCCAACAGCTCTAAGAAATAGAGGTAAAAACACTTACCTTCAGGTCAAAGGTAAATTTCCACTTTAAGTTTGAGACATTCACTACTTACTTAAAGTTATGCTAATAGATAAAAGACACCAAAATAGACTCAATGCTTTACCTTTAAGCTAGAGGTAGATGAGAAAACACCAGTCTTTACAGTTGCAGGTTTTCCATGAGAACAGAAAGATGAAAATGAAAAACATTAGGAGCTGAATTGTTTCTGGAATCCCATAAGGTTTGAATTCTGATTAAGGCAGAGGTACAATAAAGACTTGACTTCAGTCAAACAATTTCACATTTTCCTGATGCCTTCTCTGGAACAAACTGGCAAGATACAAATTGGATGGGTAGGAAATTTGCACCCAGGCTGCACACATAAGATGATCAAAGGTTTTTACCAGCCTATCACAAGTAGGATTCCCTAGGGGTCGATATGAGGCCGCACACTGTTCAACATCTTCCAAAATGGTCTGGACAATGAGACAGAAAGTACCCTCACCTAGTTTGCTGATCACACTAAACTGCATGGTAAGGTAGACAGAAGGAAGAACCATCTTACAGAGTATCCTGGGCAGGTTGGAAGAGTGGACTGGCAAGAATTTAACAAAGACAAGTGGGAAGTCCTGCAGCTGGAAAGAAAAATTGAAAGAGTCCAGTATGGGTCAGGATTTGCGTGGTGCACAGCCAGCCTTGCTGAAGGGGACCTGGTGCAGGATGAACAGGAGTCAGCAGTTCACTGCTGCAGCAACAAAGGTAAATCAAATCCTGGGCTGCATCTGCAGGGGCATTGCTGGAAGGAGCAGAGATTGAATCGTCCCACTCTGCTCAGAACTTGTGAGGCCGCACCTGGAATGCAGAGTGTAGCTTGGTGCCTACAGTTTGAGAAAGATGTGGACAGACTAGAAAGAGTCCGAATGAGGCTCTCACAGTTGGTCAAAAGGCTGAAGAACATGCACTGTGAGGAAAGACTGAAGGATTTGCTTTGCTGGGAGAAGAAAAGGCCTAGGGGGACTTTATCACAGTACTATGGTAGTTAAAGGGCAACTGCAAAGAGGAGACACGTGGAGAAGACAGGGAGCAACTATTACAAGTTGCAGTTTCATGTCTCTATCAGAAAGAATTTTTTTTCACTGAGAACAACTGATCACTGGAACAATGTCCCCTTGGTAGAGCCCTCATTGTTGAAGGTTTTCAATACACAGTTGGATAGGGTGCTATAAAACCTTGTCTTGGCTCTCTTTCCCATGCAAGATTGGACCACATGACCTTTCAAGGCCTATTCAACGTGGGATATTCTGTGATTCTATGAAAGAGGAAGAGATAAAGCATATTTAACACTACTTGGAATGCACCTGTGTGTTAAGGCATTACTTCATCAGGGAGCATGTGGTCAACAGCTGATTTAAGCAAACTTGACCACCTGTGACCTGTGGTTAATGCCTATACTGACTGTTCTTCACCAGCTCCCAGACTCACTGAACTATTCTCACACAGCAACAAGCACACATTCACCCTTGAAATAACTTTCCTTTCAGTTGCTTCCCTGGTACTAAAACTGCAAACAAAAAGACTGTCTTTCCAACACTTCTCTCACTGCCAATTCTCCTACATAGGTTACAGGAGGAAAGTTTCCCTGGGTCAAGTGTGGAGAGGAAGAGATTTAATAAAAAAGTGTGGAGCTGTACTGGAAGAACTGACAATCTGGAAGGAAAGGAGAAGAGAGTTAGCAAATATTGATTCATGTTCCTCTCTGTCTCTTGGTACTGAACACAGTAATCTAAAATCTCTGTTTCTTTATTGCCTGGAAACTGTACTGCCCATATGTCCCCAGCTCATGGCAGAAGCAGAGCTAAACAGGAGATAATTTATCTTTGCTGTTCCACTCTCAGCTCATGCTGCCATGATAGTATAAAAATATTTAAAGATCTATGGTATTCCTTGCTCTGACATGTGTGCCATTACAATTGGAATACTTTATGACATTTCAGCTGTTCCCTAGTAGGAAAATCTTACTTGAATTGAATGCTATACATCACTCAAGTGGAAACCACCTTCCTATATGTTACTAATAGAGTTGCATTTTGCTATGAAATTTTTTCATCTATCTTTATTTTTCTGTAGGAGAAAGATATTCTTCAATGTCTAAGAATCTCAACAAATGATTCAAAATTATTGTTAAGGAATCACAATGTGATATATTGCAGTTTGCTAACCAGGGAAGGAAGTTCTTTGTTCTATGGTGGCAACTTTCTGATAACCTTCGCATGTTGCTTATAGTTAAAAAAAACCAAACAGAAACAACAAAAAGCTTTTGGGTTTATTTATTTATTATTCTTACAGAGGACTGAACCATCCTGAAGGGATCCTGTCGCTTTCTGAGTGAATTACTTCTGATATCTCACTTGTAATCTGAAGCATGGAACCAAGTCTCATTTCAGGCAAGTTTTACTAATTGTTTCAATGGACTAAATATAAATTGCATGAAAAAAGAAAAGGTTGGGCAGCAAAAACCAAGCCTTTCTACTGATATGAAGGCTTAGCCTTCTGCTGGACTTGTTCTCATAGATTGCACTCAGGAGTCTGGATGGTTTTGTGGGTGACTTCTCTTTCCATTTCAGACATTTAAACTCCCATTTGAATGAGGTTTGGTGTAGTGAGCTAAAGCAGGTCAGACTTAGTGCATTTGAACATTTGAACAGTGTAACAGAGTCCCACCTTCCTGTGCCTCTATGTAAGAGCTGAGGAACATGTCCCAAGACCTGGAGGTACTCAATGTCCCCAGACCTGACAAAGGGAAGGTTGGGTCTCTGATACAGAAATCACCGAACCGCCTGTTTAAATGATGCTAAGCCTCCTCAGTTACCTTGAGACATTTCAGAGTTAAACTTTAAATTCATCTTTTATATCTTATTAAACTTTTTTTTTTTTCATAGAAGAAGACTGGATATTTGAGGTTTAGTTCAACTACTGTAAGCCAGGGACAATCAAAACCATATATTGTGATGCTTCTCAAGTTTTCTTCCTAATTTATGAAGACTGTGTGGGAGAAGACAACAATCTGTACTCAGGAGAAATGCAGTGAATCAGCCTGTTCCTTATGGTGAAATGTTCTTTTAAGCAGCTGCTGTACCTTGTAGAAATAAAAAATAACAACAAAAACAAACAAACTCCAGATTCCACTTTAATAAACCTCAAAAAAAATTAAGCTCTTGTTCTTTAAAATATGGCACTACTGTCTACAGTCTTAATGAGATATTTGTTATTGTTTGGAAACACAGCATAATGCTACTTCCCTTTCTATTTGGCTGTAGAAGCAAGGGTTATTAATCACACTAGACTATTATGGAAATTAGGGAAAGCACAGAGAGGGAATGGTGCAGAGACCTATTGTCTCAGGGAAGAATCTGGGAGGGCCTCTTCCCTAAGGATCCCCATATGCAAAAAATGATGGTTGAGATGCCTTTTTAGGAAACTGAGAGTATTTTCTGCATAGCCAGCTGGCCAGCTAGAGTCAGAGAGAGCCAAGCACAGCCCTCACTGTCTTCTATCAGTGCTGAGCAGAATGCCTGTCAGCAATAACCACGACTTGCCTTGCTCATTGACTGTGCAAGACAGAAGAGGTGAAAGAACAGGTGCTTATGCACACAGAGTCGCCTGGAGAAATGGTGATCAGTTTAATTTGATCTGAGTTGTTTATCACTCTTGGTCCCTACTCTGGGAAGTAAAGGACAGTATGGAAAGGAGCTGGTAAACTCAGTGACAGCATAGAGTGATGTCTGTTCCTCTGTACCTTTTCTGGAACAGAAACCAGCTGAGGATTTGCAGAGATATCCTCAATGTAGAGGATGGTCAGCTCTGATTTTTGGCCTATATTAACTATCTTACTGTCATTGTGCTAAGAGCATAACAACATGATTTTATAGGTCTGGGAACTTGATGTAAAACCTGAGGAACATTGGGATTATGTTACACAGGAGACTACTTGGAAGGGTCATGTACTCTGACATCTCTTCTACTCATTGTGAGAAACCCTGGAAATATTAAAACCATCACCACTGATGCCTCTGATGGGCACAGTCCTCTGTGATTTATACTCTTTGAAGGCACAGTAAGATAATGTTCCTTTGTGCATTCCCATTTCACTTTCTAGTCTGATCAGATACAACAATGGCCCAGAAAATCTGACAACCTCAATAACAACTGTTCCTGTTCACTGTGCACATCTGCTACAAGTCTCAAGGGACTTCTAAGGCTTTGGCCGTCAGTGACTCCATTCCAGATTGTTGTTATGACTACACATAATTGCATTTTAATTTATATGAGGAGAAAGCATTTCAAGCTTTTGTTTTAGTGACAAATCTAGCCTTGGTCACTCTGCCTTACATGGTCATTGCAGCCACAGGGGGATTCATCAGCCAAAGAAAGCCAGGTCCTACCATCCACATGCCAGAGACCACCAAGAACTGCATGTTCATACTCAGAACTATTTCTTGGCTCCCTGGCAACTGTTGCATGAGGTACAAACGACTGATGGAACTAAATAGAAAATGGCCATTCAACATTTCATAGAATCATACAGTCATTTAAATTGGAAACTTTATGATCAGGATTTGGCCACGTAGGCATCTTCCTAGCTCATGTTCAGCTGGCTGTTGATCAGGACTGACAGGTCCTTTTCTACTGACCAGCTTCCCAGCCACCCCAGCTTGTTGTGCTGCATGCAGGTGTTGTGGCAGAAGGGCAGGACCTGGCACTTTGCCTTTTTGAACCTCATATGATTGTCCTTGACCCATTGATCCAGCCTATCCAGATTTCCCTGCAGGACCTTCCTCACCATGAACATTCCTGCCCAGCTTAGTGCCATCTGCAAACTTACCAAGGGTGCCCTCAATCCTCTTATCCAAACCATTGATAAAAATATTGAACAGCGATGACCCCACAATACAAACTGTGTTGCTGGGAACACAATTTGTGACTGGCCACAAACTGAGTGTAGCTCCATTCACCACCATCTTCTGCCACCCAGACAGTTTGCAATCCTGCTAGGAGTGCATGTGGCCAAGCCATGCAGCTTTTCCAGAAGAATGTTGAGGGAGGCAATGTCAAAGGTTTTACTAACATCTGGGTAGAATAGTCATCCACTAAGGAGGTCATCTTGCTGTAAAATGAGATTGCGTTTGTTGTTTTTGCCCTTATTCTTCCCTAGGCAGAATTAATTTTACCTAAAGAAGGACCTACACATTTGCAACACTTTTGACCCACTCCCAGCCATCCTTCAAATACACTTTTGAGGAAACCTAGCATCAAGCAGCACGAGCTAAAACACACTTTCCACAGAATAGGTTCTATCTTGCAACAAAATACAAAATCCTATCTCACAGAACACATTTGCAAAGCCATATAGGACTTGTCTAATTCAGTAGAAAATAGGGACTAAGGCATACCTACAAATCCCATTTGGTGAGAATTTGGCACTGGGCTCCTGAAATATTTTAAGGTCCAGAACTTCATTCAGTGGATTTATTCTGTTTCCTTTCCATCTGCAGGGTGTGGAAGAAAGGCAACAGCTTTCTTTTGTCCCATTTCACAGACTCCAGTTTACTTCAGTTACATACCCCCTTATCCCATCAGAGCAAAATAGTTTATGAATTCAGATTCATGCAGTTGTTTCTACTGTCTGAGTTAAAATGTTCCAGAAAGTTGATTTGAAGAGCAAGAGGGATAAAGTGATGATTTACAATGTTCATGGCATTGCCATGGTTTGATTTCTCCCAGCAACACCCAGATATGTTCAAATGCAGCTGCTGCTATGTCACTGTAAGCTTTTGTTATTGTGTCCAAATCCTTACGGGGGTGGGGGTGGTGTCCAGATGTTAATTGAAGATCCAGGAAATCCTTCATACTGAGGTCAGAGACATTTACATCCCTGGGTTCAGTCTGAGAAACTAAAAACTTGGAATGGAATTTTTTCCAACCTTTTTTTTCCCTGACATTCAGGGTGGCAGCAGCTGTTAGTGCTGATGTTAATGACTTTGTGCCCAAAAAGACACAGCGAATGACAGATTGTTAATGATTATATAGGGTGATCATCTTTCTTTCTATCTTTTTATTATTGTTGATATCATTCATTGTTACTGACCAGATTTCAATATCATCATTCACAAACTGCCCTTCATCTCAGAAATCAGACTGCTTAGTTTAGGTGGAGCAGCAAATTCCTCACTGGGGTAAAAGAGTTGATTCTGCTATTTATGTTAGAGATAGGAAGATTTTCTTTCAATTGTGGAGCACAAGGAGTAGCACACCATTATAAACTCCAATTTCTACATATCTTCTGGTATTCCAGCATTAAAAAGACATAACCATGAATGTCACAACCATGGCCAGAATGTTGCAAATACTTATGGGGATGCTGAATTTTAGATATGCAAGTCCAGTGAAATTCATCAAGGATAGTAATACGCAAGCAAAAAATGATGCTGATATTTAGAGATAAAAAAGGCAAATAAACACAACTCTCTGAGTTACTACCCAGGGATGTGGGCTAGTAATGACATTGTTGTTGTAAGAACATAAATCCTAGGCATACGTCAGAAGCTGGCCATCTTTCAGTTATCTGGAAAAAATCCAAGAGCAGAGGTACAATTCATGTTTCTGTGGGATGTATGGCTCCCTTTTCTGTACATTTTCCATTCCATTTTTATTTGTGTGTTGTGTGTGTGTTGGGAGTGAACTGGGGCCATGCTAGTGGCAGCGAGTGCTCAAACAAACAAGCTCTGCTAAACCCTGTGGCAGAGGGAGGCTGGGGGCGAGCCCAGGAGCTGAGTCAGTGTGCTCAAATGGAGAAATTTAGTGGGAATACATCAACATCAGAAAAGTGATGGCTGGAAATGCATCTGAGCTCTAGGGTGGGCTATTTTAAGTATGAAGAATTAATTGTAGCTGACCTCAGAAAAGTCTGCAGGTTGGACACTCTTTTATAATGTGTGACAGGCTTGTCAAGTACTCAGACCAGACACGTGAATGCATCAGTTCAGCAAAGCTGGGCTTCAGATCCAGTTTCTTTTTCTTGCATGCTGGCACCCTATTTGCCTGGCTCTTTTAGAGGACATGAAGGTGAGCAGCAGGAGTAGGGAAAGCAAAGCTTTCACTTGCTCTTTATATTTTTCCAAGAAAAGTAGAAAGGTCTGAAAGGTCTCCATTTCATCCCAATATGGAATGGAAAACCGTTTCTCAAATTGAACATATTCCTGGAATGGGAATAAACAATTTCCTGCTTATTTCTATTAATGGTTCTTCATTCTTTCCACAGATTTCAGATTATGAAGGCCAAACACCTTTGAATACTGGTCCTTGCAGGAGATGCTTGGAATGGTTGCTCATGTGTGAGTGAAGATGGAGGGCAGTGGCCATATAAAAACATCCCACACTTTCCTTCCTTTATTTTCATAGTATTCCTTTGGCCTTCAACTAACACCAATCATTTAGGAGAAGAAAGATATGATGAAAGCCTGTCATAAATAATTATATAGTCCTGCATTTCTCTCAGCAATGTTCAGCACTTATTTTTGAAGCATGCCACCACTAATACACAATTGTTAAAATGCTTCAAGTTATTTGCTTTTTGTGTAATGATGATTTTTTTTTCCACTGATGTTTTTTATTTGATGAAAACAATGCAACTGACTTGGAGCCAAGAAGATCCTGTATTCTAACCCATGTGAGACACGGATTTGACTAAGACCTTGTCATCCTAAGCGTGATTGACGGGGTTAAAAAGAAAAAAAAAAATAGAAAAAAGAAACAAAGTTAGGAGGTAGCAGGAAAAAATGAACAAATGTCCACTGATTGAATACTTGACACCTCTGGTGAATGAACTTGGGCAAGATGATTCATAGTATGATGGTTTTATTAGATTAGGGATATTGCTAATTAAGTAAGCAGCTGTTGCAGCCAAGTGCTTCATCTTCTAACCATTTTTCTCTTTGCTGTTCTCTGGAATCCTGTGTCTCTTATTATATTGTTGTACGCAGAACTTGTAATAATTTTCCATGCCTTTTATGCCTTAAATTAATCTAGCATAATATTGCATGGGAACCTTCTGCCAAGATGTTCTGGTGAATGTTCTAGTGCAGCATATATCTGGCCTCTTATAGAGCAGCAGAAAGCTTTACCTCAGTGCTCAGAGATCGACAGCATCACTTCTTCATTTCCATGTCATGTTTAAAGTGTTGCTTTTAAACTAGTTTGTCTTTGTTGTGCAATGTTAGCTCTAGAAAAGATAGAAGATAAAACACCTTACTCTTTTATAATTACCATCAAAATGTGATATCTAGTCACATTTTGACTCAATTTTAGCAACTTTTAATGTCAAGATGTAGGAATTGCAAGAAATAGTAAACTGGACAAAGAGAAGAAAAGGAAGATAATACCTTTACAATAGTGCATTAGCTTTACAGAGATAAAATTTTTAACACTATGGTAGTCCAGCATTCTAGTGCAGCATATAACTGGCCTCTTATAGAGCAGCAGATAGCTCTACCTCAGTGCTCAGAGATTGACACCATCACTGTTGAAGAAATCTGCCAGTTTATCTGTCCAAAAGTACTAAAAGATACTTATCAGCCTTCTACTACTCTTCCTTGCAAGACTGAGCAAAACTGCATAGAATTTTCTTTCCCATCACCAGGCTGGGAATCACTTGCATTGGTGATGTGTTACTTCTGCAAGAAAATGTACTGCTGCAATTAGACTAGGAGATTGCTCAGCTCAAGCCTTAAAAGCCTTGAACTTCCTCACAAAAGAAGTTTTCACTTCAGATGATTTCAGCACTGGTATAATGAGTCAGAGCACAGGAAAAACATTCCTGTAAATCTTGAGAAGTACTCTGGGTAGGCAAATATCATATACCTTCTGCATAAACTGCAGTTCAGTTCTGATTTTGGCCGTGCAAAATTTTGGCTGATCATGTGAATGGGTCCAGATAGTTGCACCTTCACTCCATTCCCCGAGCCTAGAATGCCATGAACACTTTAATCTTAGCAGGACAAAATGGTTTGCACTACTGTATTCAGCCAGATTGGAGTTCAGGCAGAATGGGTATGTAACAGTCTGAACATGTCTGTCCTACATTTGTTTACTTGCAAACTCTGAAGCAAGTGAAATCCACGTAGCATGCATTTCATAGATTAGGTAGGTACAGGAAATGCCATTTTGAGAGAAAGAAGGATCAGATACAAAGGACACATAACTATTAAGCAAACTGCCCTGTCTGACCATTTATACTCCCAGTGCCAGAGACTTTCACTGCCGGGACCAAAGTCCCTTCACAGGGGGCAGCTCCACTGAACCCACAGTTGTCCTGCTTGGCTCCCCACACACCCCATTCCACAGTCAGACCAGGTTTCCTGGCCAGTTCACCTTCTGGTTTCCCATAGAAGGGTCAGAGTTCTGGTTCCTTGAAGCCATTTACTCACAGTGCAGTGAAACAGAAAGAACTTGAGCTGCTGCCTCCAAGGAGGGACCCCCAACAAAGGAAGCCCTGGGCTGTTATACCTCCAGTCCAAGGGCACAAAAGTCTCATTCCTCCTCTTCAGTCCTCAGCTCCTGAGTGCCTTTGAGTGTCTGGTCCCTGGACATGGGTCCCCAGGCCCTTTCTTATGCAAGGGGTCAGCGGTTCACAGCCCCTTGCCTCCTGCTCTCAACCTGCTACTCACAGTGAACCTGCACACTGAGCTACCTGCTCTGAATGTACCCATTAACACGAGAATTTATAGAACAATTCAAATATTTAAAGGCAACTTGCCAAAAATCTTGCTATAAATCATGGGCATATTTACACAGAACAGAAGTAATATTACCTATCACAGAGTTTGTACTCAGAATTAGGAATAAACAGGAAGCTAAATTTCATGGGTGAAGTTCCAGTTAAAGATATTGTAAATAGAAAGAACAGATTAATGAGAATGATGTGTTGTAATCAGGGCTATAGGGGGATAGATTATAAGAAAATAAAGATAGCGTTTTATTTTTTATTTATTGTATTTTTATTTTATTTTTTTAATTTTAATTTTTCTATTTTTAAAATTTTTTAAATTTTAAAATTTATTTTTATTTTTATTTTATTTATATTTTATTATTTATATTTTATTTATTTAAATATTTCAATTTTATTTTAAAATATTTATTTTATTTTATTTTATTTTTATTTTATTTTCTTTTTAAATTTTATTCTTATTTCATTTTACTTTAGATAGTGGTAGAATTTTTGCTGGAGTTTATCTTCTTTTGGTCCCAAATGATTTCTGATCGTTATATATGAGCAATAAAAAATGTGACTGTGTGGGCTGGCTATAATGAAGCTGGGATTTTGTATTCATTCATCACAAGATGTAACTCCTAAGTGCATCTGTTATCTATTTCAAGATTGTATTTCTTTTGGGTAGTTTTATGGATAATTGAGTTAGTGAGGATCTTGGTAGAAAATCATCTGGAAAGAAGGTACATAGAGATTTCAATGTGGTTTCTCTTTTGTGTACTCAGTTGTGACAGAAGAATTAAAAAAATTGTTTACTTTATAGAGATTTAGCCACATAAGCTTTAGCTTAACATTTCATGCAGTCATGATGACCCTCTCTATCTGTTACATGGAAATTCATCTGTTGTCTTGTACACCTGTCCTGTGATGTGGAGAACACTTATACCTCAGCAATTACTATACAGATTCTAAATAGTATCATAGATGAGATGCTTCCAGTGGCTGAAAATATAAAACTCGCTTTTGGGATACAACAAAAACCTCTCTGCTCAGGTTAAACTCTCTGAGAAGCCCTCCAAAGAGAGAGAAACATTCAGGTCTTGCAACGTCTTAGTGAAAGCTGGGTATAAACTTCAGCAGGTACAGATAAAACTCCAGTCTCAGGCATTAGGCTGCCCCTCTTCCCTAGAAAAGGAGGCATGTGGCAACAAAAGCCTACATGCAAAAATTCTGATCTCATTTAAAACTCTCTAGTCATGTGTTGCTTGTATATATAATTACAGTGAACTTCAGAAGCAGCAGAAGCAGTGAGTTGCTGACACAAGGGAAGGAAATGGAGGTAGGCATAAGCTCGAACACGGTCACATGCATGAGTCAGAGGAGAGTGTAGAGACTCGCTGTGCAAACAGCAGAAGCTGTTTAAAGAAATACCTTCTCAGCTGTTTGCTTACTGGAGGCTACTGTTCCTGTAACTCTGCTGGTAGGAAGGAATATGTATGAATCAGAGGCTTCCACTCACAGACCCACATCTTCATGCAAGACCACTTTTATTACCTGTGTTAGCGAAGACTCTGGACCTTATGGTACCATCAGGGAGATACAGGCACAAACTAAATTACTCTGATTCTGTGATGAGATGGGAGAAGAAAATGGTGAGCAGTAGAAAGCTGTAAATTAATAGCCAGACATCCACCAGAAATGGTTTCTCAAAAACCTAAATTGGTGAAGAAGTCTATTTTCCACTACCTCCAAAAACCTCTGTCATTCCTTCGTGTGTGCCGAAATCAGAAATTTGTTTATGGTAGAAAATATGCTTAGTGCTAGAGGAGGTATAAAAGTATAAGCAAGGATTAAATACCTGACTCCTCCTCATTTTCAGCATGACCTATGTTATAAATCAAGAAGCTTACTGTAACAAAGTGTTGCCCTCTCTACCTTTCAAGTATTTCACAGTGGACCTCAATTCACTGTTTTTCAATGTATTTCTGAGAAGCATTTAGTTTTTGCCTAGAAATTGCTGTGCTATTTTTGCATATTCAGATCTCTGTATCATTCCAGTTTGGAGAGGCCAACTGTTCCCTCTGTTTCCATATGAAGATAGAATGAATCAGTGTTGCTTCCATCCGTACTGCCATTCCCCCAAATGCTTTCACAGATGTACTGGGAACATGGAGTTCTGTGGTCTGTAACTGTAATACCCCAGACTGGGCTGCTCTCAAAAGCCACCCTTCAGAAACCATATGATTATAAGTAACTCAAGGCTGGTAGGAGTTACCACACATTACATGAGGAAGGATCCCATGAGGCTGCTCAGGTGATAGCAAAGCTTTAACAGGAAAAAGATTTCACAGAAGCAAAATTTCACTGAAGGTTTCCAGCAATCTGATTTGCATGATTAGGAGAAGAAAATTCCCATGTCCCTAAAAGTGGCCAGCCCACTAGATGGCCCAATACCTACTAGATGACTTATAAGGAAGCTCTAGTGGTTGTCATATCACTTCTTTTCAATTTGTTGTGTACATTTTGGCTTGCTGTCAAAAAGCTTGGTGCTTGGTACTGGCTCTTCATATACTTTATTCTCCTCAGAAATCTAGCATATACTCCTGCGTATAAGAAGACAGGTGATTTTATACATAGCCTGCTGTGAGAATGAGTTCACAGCATCATGGCACATCAGTTGTAATAGCTCAGCACAGGTATCAGTGTGAGTTCAGAAGGGAACAACTAATTAAATCCAGATTCCTGATGAGGGAATCAGGGAAGGTAACAAAGTACGGTAGCAAGACAATGACAACAGGAGGGAGAGGAAGGTCTTCAGCTCCTAGGACTTCCAACTCAGCAACCCTGGGCGTTTTTTTCCTGACACTCTAATAGCAATAACATCAATAACAGTTAGGAATAAAGTGTTACACTAACAGTTAAGAGAAAAATGAAGGCCACATAATCTTTCCCTATCTGTGAGACACTTAGGCTCCACCAGCTGTGCTGGCTGGCTTCCTACATCTGGGTTCCAAAATGGGTAACAAGAAAACTCTGAGAGTACTATTTTAAGAACTCTGGCACCAAGCAGAGAGGAGAAAGGGAAAAAAAATCTCAACTCTCCACTTCTTTACTGAAATCATTCTGTTGAAAGCATTTCTGTTTGGCTGCCACAGCTCACCAAGCAGCCTAATGTGCCAGCTATTAGTACCCAGCAGAGAGCATGTTTGCAGCTATTCAGCAAAACTATCACATGTCCTTACCGAAGGAAAGAGGGATCAGCTGCCGAATACTGGAGCTGATGAAGAGCAGAGCTATTAAAGCAAGCAATAAAAAAACCCACTACCCAGAATGCAGACTGATTTTTATTATTATTTTTTTAACCTAATGGATGACATTTATAAGTGGAAAGTATGAGTCAGTATGCTGTGCCAGCATGGGGTCTTTATGATGTTTTCATCTTGCTTGTTCTTCCTTCTTGGCTAGGACCATTCTGTCTTGTTGATTTGTAAGTTTTAGGTTCCTTGCAGTACTTTGGAGATGGGCATTCACATGTGTTTTTGTGTGCATGTAAGAAGTGACCATAGGTCAGTGAACTGGAAGTAAAGGACTAAACTACTCAAGAAAATTTTTAGGGAGTAGTGGGACTACTTTACAGTGCTGGGACCGCTTAGATAAGTTATTGCTGCCAAAGTGTCACCACTGCCAAATGTGGCAGTGACGTGAGTGTGGGAGGCTAACGCCCACTTGCTAGCGAGGACAAAATGGACACATCTCCCTCTCTGCAACCACTAATCTAAGCCAAAATAAAAACAGAGTACTGTTTGTCCTTTGGTAGCACATGAGCAAATAGAGTGCATTTGACACAGAGCTTCTCTGCAATGTCACATCTCTAGCATGTAACCAAGAAACAAAATTATACTACTTATTGAGATGATATCAGAGTCTGGTTACCTCAGAAACAACACACTCAATTCTAGATTCTGACTCCAGAAAGTTCTCTCTACATTGCAAAATCAGGCCTGAAGCACTTCCCAGGGTGAATTAATCAAGGAATGCCAGCTATGGGAAAGTCCCCTTCTGACCCAGCATTGTTTCATGGCGGCTTCTCCTATTCTGCAAGTCCCTGACACTGAATTCACATTTTGACAAGCAAACTCCTGCTAGGAGAGTAATTTCCAAGGCCCATGCAAGGCAATGTCGCCTAGCCATGGTGGTCTGGGCTGGTGCAGCAGCGGGGTCACCCCACAGCTTCCTGAGAGTGCCAGGAGGTGTGAGGGACCCGCAGAGCCTTTGCCTTCCTTTTCCCACAGCTGATATGGGTCATGCTCAGCGCAGCTGAAAATTGAGCCCTCAGGCAGGGAGCTATAATGAATTCACTAGATTAGGCAATGAAAGCCAGTGTGAACAAAACAACCAGCTGGCTCAAGAATATTTCTCACCAGCATAAAAATGCTATAGTAGGGGAGGAAACAAGCTTCAGAACTGTCCCCTTTCATTCCTCTGAAAATCATGCCCATCTTTAATGCATATTCTTATAGCCTCCATATATCTGTGAAAGTGAAAAGAAGTAAAGGTATTCTCATCCGCTCTGTACTGTTTCAGCCATTGAAAATAGTAAACTCATGTAAGAATGTGAGGCAGCTTGAAAATAACTTGTTTATGGGGGAATTTTACTTGAAGCCCTATAATTTTTTTCTTTTCTTTCATAATGAGTATCAGAATCTAACTACATCATTCAGGTCTTTGTAATTATTTTTTAATTCTGGAAAACTAAAAGTTTTGTAAGTATTTAGAAGTATTATTTCTAAAAATTCTAAAGTAATAAAATTATACATATAGGGTAGTATAGTTCCAGAATCAGAAACTGAAAAGCTGCCCTATCCTTATTACTGGAAGTGGAAAAATTGTTTCAGCATAGAGTGACAGACAAGACTTGACTCCAGTTTCTTTGCTTTTGTCTAGGGTTGTGTTGAAACCCTGTGTTTCCAAACGTTGTTTTTCCTTTATCTGAAAGGTGACTTTTCATATGTGAGCCAATCCACCCACACTCTTCCTGTGATTATTCTCAAGAAATAAGAAGAAAATTCCACACAATGTCCATACCCAATAGGATCGCAAGCCTAGTTTCACTGGATTAATAGTTTGCTTTCCTTTCTAGTTCACAAGAAATGTGTGTTCCTATGAGGTGATTTTGGAAAATGTGTTATTCGACTGGAGGAATCTTGCCTATGGATGCCACCAGAAAAAAAAGATGTCAGTAAAAAACAGCCTCACATTTGTATTTGAAGGAGTGAAAGGCAACACTTAGGAATTCCCACATGGCATTGCCCTTGCAATCTCCTGAGGAAATCCACCGTAAAATACAGTATGTGCTGAGAACAGGCTGGGGCACCTAAATTTGGATTGCTTTTGGCTTCAGCTATCCAGAAATCCCCAGAACAGGTGCCAAATTAAGTCACCCTACTAGCTGCTTTCCATGGCTGAAGGTCAGTAATAGTTAACATGGAAAGGAATTTGGATAGCACATCTCACAATCCGACAGTGCTGTGCCTGCTCAAACATACCAATGCATTCTTACCTCAGAAAACCTCAAGTGCAGAGCAGTTTCACTTTCCTTTGACATGGCAGCAGCTTACAGTTTGTAAGGAAAACACATTAGTCTTTGGTATCAATGTTAATTTATGCCACATTTCCCATCTATTTATAACTCCAGCATTCTAAATTAGACTATTAGATGCAAATATATTGTAATCTGACAGAAGGCAAAATATTCCATAAATCTGATTTGGAAAAGGGAAATATTCATTTATATATAGCTGACTAATGGCTCTACATTTGCAATTTCAGAAACATGATTTCTTCAAAGAACTGCTGACAATCCATGTTAAACTTTGAAGATTAGTGTGTTTAGCCATAATTTTGCTCCCATTTGAATTTTATTTTGTTGTCAACTTGTTTCTTATTGCATTCTTTGTTTCTTAGAACTTGTATAAATAGAGGATTTTTGTTTCTTGAAAGCCTTTTGATCTCCTTTTCATTTCCCACCTGCAATTATAACTCTTTCTGGGTGACATCACCCATTAGATGCAGTGGAAAGAATTCTGATAAATAGCTGAATAAAGAATTATTGACATCAAGTGGAAAATAGCCCTCTGGAACTGATGAGCTCTCAAAAAGTCTGTCTGCATGCAAGAATCACGAATGAGAATCATTACAATCAGGCAAATATAGAAAATACTCTGTGCAAGGTGTTCAGTGCAAACTCAATGTCCAGAACTGGGAAACTCATGAAGGTGGTTGTTAGTGCAAAGTTAAATATTTAACCTCGTTAGCTAGAGAGTACTCGCAAGTGTGGATACACCAGCAGTGATATATTATGATGCTTTATTTCAGTAAACAGGGAATTAGAACAGTCCCTGCAATTTCTCTTTTTTTCCCCACATCTTATTAAATTCAGACAGGGTGCACTTTTAAGAATATCCTTCTGTATAGATGGATTTCATTCCCCAGTGAAACACTCAGTAAGTGCATGGTAAGTCCACATCCCTATCGGTTCTCTATTTTACCATTTTCCTTAGTCCTCAGACTATTAGTTGTTACATCTATGTCCAAACTCTGAGCAAGCATTAAACAGTATAATTCTTTGAATGTGGCTGGAGTTACCCTTAAACTGGTCCAGTCATGAATCTTGTATTCTTCTAAAGAACTGAAGCAAGCACTGGTATATACAACTGTTGTAGTTTTGGTCTGGAATTTTTTTTTTTTGGTCTGTGTGTGTGTGTAAACTAGAGTTACACTGATGTTAAGCACAGACCATATCCATATTTACTACATAGATACAGAGTTATGGACTGCAACCCACTTCCTTCTTTTAGGAATGAAATTATCTTTGAGGAGACATAACAAGCAGATGTTGTTCTTGGGCTCTCTCTGGTCTGTTGCAGTGCTTCCTAACATTCACAGCATAAAATTGAAGACAGGCAGTGTGTAGCATGTACCAATAATCCTAAGTCTTGGTTCTTCTTTTGTAGGAACAGAAGAGGTGTAGAGAGGAGATTCTGTCACTTTACATTTTTTTCCAGAGAAGACAGAAGCATTATCTATCTCAGTTTTGGTACTCTTGGTTTGCTGTCTAGAAGGAATGTGATAGATAATTCCAGAAAATTTTGAGGCTTACTAGACTAGAGTTTAACCCATGGTTATAGATTATCATCATTACAGTGACTTTTTATAAAAATCTGCTAGACCTTTCTTCACTGAATAACAAGAAATAAAAAGTTACTGGGCTTCAGAATATGTTGAAAGACCATGGCACATAGAGATTCAGTAATAACCTCTAACAGAATACAACAGACATACAGAGTCTTACAGTCACAATAGGTCTGTGTCCACAATCACAAAGGTATTTCCCATAGCTCTTGTACCAGCACTGCTTACTAATAGGCATGGATAATGATGGATAATGTCAGGGCTTTCCATTGTACTTTGAACTTACACAGCTTATCACTTCATAGTAGAGATGATCCAAATGTATTCTCTGGTTCAAAAGCACTTCCCCTCTGGAACAACTTAATAGGTGTTCCTACTTCAAACTAAATTATTTCCAGTTACCTCTAAACCTAGTTATAGCTAGAATTTTTTTCATACATGGGTTATATCTGCTCTAAATCCATCAAAGCCACTGTAGGTTTATACTATTGCAAAAGCAAAAATAAAACAGGCACTGCCTATCCTCTCATTCCCAGGAGCAGCTGACTCTCCCTCTTTGGAATGGCACTTATGGGAAATCCATGATCTCTGCAGAAATGACCAAACTAGATTTGATTTAAAGCAGATATTTTGAGAATTCAGTTAGACAGAGTATGTAAGTGAGGTGATGAAAGATTCTGCTAAGTCATCCCTGGTCTTCTGATAGATCCCTGGTCTCAAACACAAAGAGAGATGGAAATCAGAAAAATGGTTTTAGAGACTCTGATTCTGGGAGAGATATGTTTTGCATATGACCCTTTCAAAAATGTCAGCAACAGTGTATTTGACTTTCTTGATCTTTGAATCAATACCTTCTGGCTACATAAGACACTAGCAAACACATTTTGACTCCAAACAAATTATTTCAAAACTGTCACAAGTGACTTTTTACATGGAACATCATTTATATGACATTTACAGTTCCTGGCAAAAGCCGGTACAGACACACCCAAAGAGCCACTATTTTCCTCTGAGAAAGGAGAACCTCAGAATGATTCTTTTACCAAAGAAGACAAGCAGTTTGTTGGATGGAAGACTTCTACTTCATACATCTTATTTAAAATCATATAGGTAATAGGTAGTCATTACAGGGAACACTGTGACCCCTGTGAGTGCTGTTGGTGATGTCACATAGCTGCACTGTGCTTCATACTGTCCAGATGACACAATTTCTCATTTTTCTTCAGTCTGGGTTGAGATCATTGCTTGGGTGAGAGGCAATTACCTAAAGCACATCTGAGAGATGCTGGCAGACTGTCTGAGAGAGGTAGTCTGAGTCTGAAGGAGCAATTTCCTTCCTTTTAGCCAAGCTTGGGGAATGAGAGAACCTTTTAGGATCTTTAGGTGCATCTTGATGCATTGGCAACAACAGTAGCCAGGGAATTGTTCTGTTTTATTTTCTTGTTTACAAGCACATGTCCAAATGAAGATTTTCCAATGTTTTGTCTATCCAGGGTAAGCAATTATACACTCTAGGTTTTAAAAGCATTGCAAACCTCATCAGGAGAAAAATACACTTTGTTTTCTACTCCAGGTCTTTTGTGCATTGCTGCTTAATTGCTATCCTCACTTCCATCACCATTTCCATTCTGGACGTGCACTAATTGCTGTTCATTTTAGTTCATTGTATCTGAAGGACACAGTCACTTACAAGGCAACAGATAAGATCACAAGTGGAATATATGCTCATGGTCCTCCCATCTGGAGTTCTGGATGGATGAACTTCTGCCCCAGTGTTATCTTTATTTTCTGGTTTAGTGTGTTGATTTTCATTGAATACTACTGATATAATAACTTATTATAATAACTACATATAATATCAGATTATAATGCAACTATTATAATGAAGATATAATAACTTGGGATTTTATTAAGAGGAAACTTGTCCAGGTTTTGAAGGTTGGAAGGCATTTATTTTAAATTGTGCCATCTTGATTTAATCAATAAAGTGAGGTTTTGTATACATATGTGAATATATATATTTATCCAGAATATTTGGGACAGGTGCATCATATAAATTGACCAGATGATTGCATTAATTACATAGCTGTTGAAGATATTAAAAGCAAGAATTTGCTAGAAAATGCCATAAAATTGCTAGTACAGAAACTGAGGCATGATTGTGGTTTGTCAGACATACTTATCTGAAGGCTTCTCTTTAATAATTAGTGCTGTTAGAGAAGATAAGATGACTTCATTGCCCAGCACAGAGGAATGAATCTATTTCACAGGTTGATGCAAACAGAAGGAGTTAGCTGAAATAGTTTATTGGGTTCAGTCCCTCACTATTACTGCATTGCACACAGCTGTTACCAGGTCAGAGAGTGTTTTATTTCTAGTTCACCATTAAAGGTGCATTATAACCTCTTTATTAGTTTTTCTGAACATAGCACATACCATCATAAATGTTTTATGAATGCATTCAGAAAACAGGTAGCACAGCTTGTCTGTTTTTGCAGACTATTATCAACTAGTGCTGCTAGGGCAGCATGAGGACTGAGACTTCCACTGAGAAACTGTCTAAGATCTTATTTCTTGTAACAATTTCAGTTAAAGTACATCTCAAGAGATTAACCAAGTGGATGGCAGTAGGAATGAATACAGGTTTTACAGAAGTCTATTCCAAAGATGAGCCAATTCAATAGTGGTCTTTTCTGTAGTTTCACAGTGTTTTCTGGGATTTTACAAGAGATCTTCAGAGTAAAATATTTTCTCATTGTAATTTAAGAGAGTAAGCAGGCAACACAGACTTTTCAAATGTATGAATTTTGTTCGGAAATCCTTGTATCTAGTGCCCATATTTTAGCCATCTGTTAGTTAGGCATTGTCTTTCACTATTGTATTAACATGTAGGACTTTCATTATACTTTCATTGCTTTGGTTTCTTTGGAAAGAGAGAAGTTTTCTGTTAAAACATCAAATGTGAGCTTCATTATAAATAATTAAAACTGTTCTGCTAACTCTGTCAGTCTGCAAAGACATCCAGATAACCAAAATTTTACCGTTAGGGTCATGTTTGGACAAACATCTATGAGAACAAGATTTCTTATCAGATTCCAGCACTTCCACTTGGCATCTCAGCTGGAAATACCAGAAGAAAAGCCTTTCTGTTAGGCTATGGTCATTTCCAGCTCTAGTCCCTGGTGGAAATCAGAGGTGCCAAATTAATTCTGCTCATGAAGGGTTCAAAGTAAGTTCATTTCCAAACATGCATTAAGGTTTCTTTTGTATTTCTTCCTTAAAGCCTGTGTGGAGGCTTGTTTTGTAAATGCCAGGCGTTTTTGTGGTTTTGTTTGTTTGTGGTTTTCTTTTTTTTATTTGTTTGGCTTAGGCTTGATTTCTGTTTTATTCTGTTGTTTGTTTTTTTAAAAAAATTGCTATTTGTAAACCAGGAGTATCTTCACTTCTAATTGCTGTCACAGGATGTGACTCTGGCCAATAGTTCTAAAGAGGACTGTTGTTTTCACATATGTTAATTGTCTCTTTTTCTGTAAAAGAGAAAGGAAATGGTTAAGGGATTGGAGGGAACTTTCCTTAGGTTAATTATGTGATAGATGAGTAATGCGATGATTGACTCTCACAATTAATAGACAAATATCATGTATATAGGTTAAGAAAAGTTTCATAGATTTATAGTTATGTTGTACCCCCCTGCGTGGTTATCAAGGAACAGCTGGAGATGGGACATCTGAGAGGGCTGGCTTGTCACTATGGTGACATCTGACCTCCAATCAGGATTTGAGGAAGAGATCTCCACCACTGGACCGTGAAGAAGGGGTTGATGGACAGAACTTTGGGAGGGGTTAGAGAGTTAAAAGGAGAAACCTCCATGGTGAGGGAGAGCACATGGTGGGCAAAGTCTTTTGGTCCAGGTGACATAACCTTTTGTTTTTGCTCAGTCTTCTGGTGTACTTTTGATAAGGTTTAATAAACCTTCCTAAACTATGAAAAGTGAGTGGCTATTTCTCACAGTTATTAAGTCTCGCTCTTTTCCACACAGTACTTTTTCCTGCCCAAGGAGACTTGAGCAGCAATCCTTTAGATTCCCTAAGACTACCCTAATGACTGCATTTCAGCATAGTCTGGGAGTGGGAAGGAAGAGAGTCTTGGCCAATTTAGCTGAAGCTATTCACCTTTTAATAAAAAAAAATACAAATTAGATGAAGATGTTTAATACACATAATATTCTGACAAGTGATTAAGCTAAAAGATGGTTTTATTATCTGTGTTTACCCCAACATTTAGATGACTGCATATGAATAGATCTGTTTCTGCTGGAGAGGTAGACCAGATTTTCTGTTACAAAATGTGTTAAAACCAAGGCTGTGCTTGCAGAAGGTGAGTTCAAGACCTCTGAGGGAGATGAATGTGAGTTGAAGACTTTCAAAACCTTTTCTGAGTGCTCTAATGGCAACAGTGAACATGGCATAAGCATCTCTTTCAGCAATTTTTCTTTGTGTATGATGACAGATCCAGTAGAAGTGTTGTGAGAACTCCCAGACCTTGAGGGAACATTTAGTTGGATTTTTAGTTCAGTGGATATTTAGTTCACACAGGTATGGTTTGAGTGTTTTGCTTTCACATGCACACAAGTAGATATTTGAGGTCAAACTGGGACTGGTCTTGATGAATTCCCCTCTTTAGTCAATGAAGGCACTGTCAGAGGGTCATTCATCCTACATACCTTAGGCTCACATCTTGATGGGCTAAGTTCTTCTTGAAGGTTTCCATTTCTCTGCACAGTAGGAACCTGGATATACAGCTTTGCTTATATTAACTTTTAAGGGTAACTGGTAGCAATTCTGCTGTTAAAAACTGGAAGTATAACTTCTAGAAGAGGATACATTTGCAAAATTCAGACATCTATACTGTTTGATTACAGTTTGTGGAGTCTTTGCAAATTAAAATTTTGAATGTCAGCAGTAAAAAAAAAGAAGCAGATAGTGTAACCTACCAGACAGGGTAGCTCTCCCTTATGGCTGATCTGTGGAAAGTGTGCACCTGTTGCCAGATTCCTAATCAGAATGCTGTGTTATCAATATACTGTTGTATATAATCTTAGGAAATCATGTGCCAGCACAAGGTAGGGACAGAAATATCCTTTTGACAGCTAGAAACTCAAGCTATACATCAGGCCCTGTTTAATCCATTCTGGTTTAATTCTGATGTTTGTGCTAGAAAAAAGGGTTATCTCATTGTATGGAGAAGTACTACAGTCTTGGAGAAAGTGAACCAAGTTTCCTGCTGCTTGAAACAGGAGAGGTGATGATTAGAGTTATTGGAGGTTCACCTAAGGTAACGCAGCTACTTTGGCTCAATGTAACATCTTTGCCTAGAAAGCAGGTGTCCTGGGGTGACGTTATGATGCTTATATATCCCCATTCATCTGTTCTGTGCCTTTAAGACCGGCACTGAAGAGTGGAAGTTTTGTTTGGGTTTCTCTTATCAGGACACAGAGACAAGCAGTA